CCGAGCACTCAGACCGGTGTCTTTGCGACTGCAAACTGCCACGTCATTTTCCCCGGGAGTGGCTGCTGGGTTGGAACACCCACTTCCTCGGGTAGCGGCCACGCATTTTCTCCATGGCTTCCACCAGGGCTCTGCTCCTTGGCAGGGAGAGGGCTGTTCTATTGCTGAAGAGAAATCCATTGATAGGCTGAGAAGAAAGGGAACCTCAGTAATTATCATAAGGAAAAGAGGCCCGACGAAGGGCGAAGGCAAAGTCAGGTGGTCACATGCCCTGGAGACCCTGAGCGGTACAAGTGGGCGAGCTTACTCTGTTGCCAACAAGCACGTTGGTGGTTCGAATCCTCACCCACCTGCCACAGTTGTTGACTCTGATTCCTGGTGACTCTCTATTGGGTGTCTGAGGCTGGAAACCTCAATGGGAGCTGCCCCAATGTTTATCCACCAGCACCCAGGGAGATCATGGCCACTGAAAACCCCGGGGGGTGGGGGGACACACAAGTCTTCCTCTGGACACCTGGACTCCACAAACCGGAATCAACTTAGGCAAGTAGCTTGGTCACTTAAAGTATTTCTAACTCCAGGGCCAAGTAGTTAAGCCATACTCATTTCCCTGCCATTTTCAGGGAACAATCAATGGCTATGCCAAGACCAGCTGATGTGCAAGGTGGATGAGCTCAGCCCGTCCACAGATGTGACTGGGATACTCATGCCCCGGCAGGGCACAATAGAGGAAACACACACGACGTTATAGCGCATTCCCAGACTTTCTCAGGTTTTGCAGTTTTGGAGGATCGGTGGCCTGTTCTCAGCAGTTCTTTCTTTTCTTGTGCTAAGATCTGAGTGCAAATAGCCTCTATTAACCAGATATATCCGCCACTAACCACCGTGCTCAAAGGTCAGATTTTACATTTCAGCTAGCTCATCACTTCTGAAAGCCTGATTGGCACCCCCAGTACCATTTGGATTATATATCACGAAAGACCATCCTTAACCTCCACCCCACTGCACACCCGAAGATGATCGTCTCTTCTTGGTACCCCACAGAGGAGGCATCTGCTGCCGATTTGCTGATTGGAGGGGTCACTATGCGAGCACGATGTAAGGGACTCAGGGAACATGAGCTTTGCTACCAGAACTCTTGCGGAGTCAGAATACATTTTCACGAGTTTGGAAAGAGCAGTGGAAAGATGTCCTGCTTGTAAACTATTTGAGCATGATGTTAACAAGGAAAGGCTGGCATCGGTGAGTCCGATCGTTCATATTCTAGGCTCGACGTCTGTAACATTGCTTCCCTATTAACATTTTTGATAAGCTGACAAGATGTAGTACGGCAGAAGTGAAGTTTGAGAAATTATCTTACAAACATCGACGTTTGCTCAACATCAAAGATTATATCTCAAATTCAAGGAAAATGGTTTTCAAATTGTTATCGGTACTGCTTAAAAAATGTTTTCTATTAGATAGCAGCTCATTACTTTTATATCTCTTTCCCTATCTATGGTGCCTTATATATTTATGTTTCAGTGCTTATGTGAGGATGTTCTTTCTGGAAGATAGGAAATCTATTTAATTTGCCTTTCAGAAGCATTGATCTCAATAAATAAGAAAAGATAAGGAAAAAGATATACTTGAGCATTTTTGAGAAATAGTCATCCTAGCTTTAAGCCATTTTGACATCTAAACTTAATATAAAATAGCAAGTTTGAAAGACCTATTTACATATGCCCCCCCCCAACACACACATATTTTTCTCTTTAGAATCTCCAATCCAAAATAACCTTTTATGAAATCCCCTAGGGCACAGGCATCTCCAAAAGAGGTATGGTAAGTCTTAACTTCTCAATTGTTACTTTTCTCTCTTCTAGTAGGGGATTTTGCTTTATGCTTTAACTTCTGGTCTGCGGACCAGGGCTTTCAGATAACATTGAGTACCATGCCTCTGCCCTTCCCCGCAGAGTTCACTTTTGAAAGTCTGGAAAATGCAGTGGGAAAGAGGTTTGAGGGGAACATGTAAAGAACATACTGTTAGCATAAAAAATAAACCAACAAACTAACTATATATCATAGCCCTTTGCCCTTTTTAGTCAAAAATCTAGATATTTGAAAACAAGATACAAGGGGTGTCCCCTCCCCCAACACACCAAAATGGGGAGAAGTTCAACTGTACTGAGTCACTCTGATTTAGTGCACCGGTGATGTCTCCTGGGAAGGTTCTCTCTGGTCACAGTGAATGTTTTCGTAAAAGCAGTTTCACTTGAACCTCATTTTTTTTGTGATGGGAGA